TTATTCCTAAGACCAGAGATAGATTGGAAGTTATCTATTTTTCATATCTTTTTTTCTTTTTCTTTTACTTTATCTCACGCTTCCTTTTCTTTATATTTTGTATTTCCAATTTTCTTTTTCATTTCTAACTTTTAAATTTGTAACTTTAAAATTTCAATAAAATATTATTCAAAAAAAATGAACCTGCTTTTTTAAAAATTGTCATAAACTTCTCTGGATCCCAATGTGCTTCATCAGAGGTATGAGCATGGATCAGGAAAGGAACATTTTATACACTCCCCCCCCCAGGTTGCCTGATCTATTTGCACTATCATGAGATTCTGGGTGGATCATCATCATAAAACAGCAACATCATCTCCAGCCCTTTATTTACTTTATTTTTGTTTTATATTGTATTTTAATGGATTTTATCTCTTCTGTAAACTGCCCAGAGTTGCTTTTTGGAGAGACAGGTGGTGACAAATTTGATATATAAATCAATAAAAGCCCTGGCATTAGCCTTAAACCACAAAATCACCCAACAGCTCAGAATGTTATTTATGTTTAATTATTTATTAGATTTGATCTTACCTTTTTTTATTCAGGAGCTCAAGGCAGCGTACACAGCATTGCCGCCCCATTTTCCCCCACAACGATCACCCTGCAAGGTAGACTGGCCTGAGAGAGAGTGATTGGCCCACAGTCACTTTGGGAAAAATCAGGAACAGAGCCATAAAATTATTTTGGAAGCTGCTTAAGATGGGGGAGTGGCAGTGGGGGGAACCAGTCCATCCTCGGCCATGGAAATCCACTGGGAAAATTGAAGACTGTGATTGTCTCTTAGCCCAACTTACCTTGCAGGATTGTGGTGGGGGTGGAAAGTGGGAGAGCTACGAATGCCACCTTGATCTGCTATATAAAAGGCAGGATAAAAATCTAACAAATGTATAGGCGAATACTAATGAAATTTTAAAAATTAATAATACGTGTTTCTTTTAAGAAATTAAAAAAAAATCTTATTCCCTGGAGAGGAGTTGTGCCAGTCGATTGCAATTAAAAACAATTAAGAGTTCTGCAGTATCTTGACGGGCAACCTCTCCGTGATCCCAGAGGCTAATAATCCTAGAAAAGAAACAGATCAATAGTGTTGGGAAGGCAAAGAAAAAGAAGGCGTAGGGAAGTGTTTCTCAACCTCAACAACTTTAAGATATCTGGACTTCAACTCCCAGAATTCCAGATATCTTAAAGTTGCTGAGGTTGAGAAACACTGCCGCAGGGAAATGGGGAAGGGCAGAATTGCAGCAACCACAGTGCAATTTGTTAAGAAGCCTCAGTGAACACTTAATCCATGAGCAATTATTTCTGAAAGCAGAGGGGAAACCGGTTCTAAAGATGCTGCTGCGCCCAGAATCAATCCTATTAGCAATGTTCTTTTTGGAATCGAGCTTGATTCTTGGTGCCGTGAAATTTCCTTGGCAACAGTACTGCAGTAGCGTGCTGCCAACTTCCCGGGCTGGCCTACACCTTAAGATTTTCTGGTGGCCTCCCATCTACACGTCAAGCAGGTCTGGCCCTGCTTGGCTTTTCTGAGATCAGCCAAGGTCAGCTAGACGCTACCTGCTAGCTGGTCAAGCTATTAAAACACGGACGAGATCCCCTTGCAAAAGTCCACCACGGCTCATACCGTTCGAGTTTCTACCAAGCGCAGCAAGGCAGGATGGTTGGCCACAGAATGTCCCAAGGTCTTCTCCAGCATCAGCTGCGAGAGATCTTGAAGGTAGAGGAGCAGAAGGTGGTCCTTCACTTCCAGGAAACTGAGGCCCTGATGGGAGGAAAAAAGGAGGCAGATGAACCATAGGGAGGATTTACAAGCCTGCATTGGAATGAAAACTGAGGGGAGACAGAATTAAGGTATGAGATGCCACAACAGAAGGACAAAGGTATCTGCTACGGACACAGGACCACAGGGAAGTCAGAGGAGCCTGGCTGGGGAGGTCTTGCAGACAGTTTAAACTTTACAGCAGATGCAGAGAAGGATAAGTTTGGGGGCACAAAAGACATCCTCCTAAATATGAGAGAGTGGGGTGGGGGAGAGGAAGGATCAAGCAGGCTCATTACTAGAGAACGGT